CAGAAGATCTTTGGCTTACCAAAGGTGCCCCGAGAATGTTTCAAAATTTCTCTTTCAAAGGCCATTCTTGTTTCTATCTCTTGTATACTGCTTATTTTTGCACTGGAGCTCAGCCATGAGTTAGTTGTGTGTAGCTAAGCCAGTCTCCCAACATATTTATTGCTTTCATGAGTAGAAGGATGAGCTGTTACTGTGCTAAGAGGAGGCTGACCTTAAAGAACCAACATGCTGAATCTTTCAAGCCAAAGTAAATTACTATCTGCTATTTCTGTAAAGCCTTTACCTTCCAAAATTTAATTACCTGCATTTAGAGGTTTCCAGGTGTTAAGAGGGTAATAACTTCAGACCAACCTTATATATTGAGCTATGTGAAAAATCTCAGCCTTGCATGTAAAGTCTCATGCAACACGCTCAAAGCATTGCTACAAGAGTCAGAGACTGTTACATGTGCCCACACAGTGGTGACACCTCGGCTGCAGAAAGACATCCCCAGTGTTTCCTGCTTCCAATGCATTGAGCTCATCACATAGCAGGGCAGATGACAGAAACAAGGGCGTGGATTGTGACCTGTGATTATCATCTGAGAGGGCAGGTGCAGAGCAACACATTTCTCAGGCTTGAAACCAAGGAGAAAAGGAGGCAGGAGCTGAGGATGAGGAGATCATATCTGTGGTGCAGCTGAAGCAACAGGTACAGTATTTGGCAGAGAATTTGACTAAAAACCAAATCTCAACATTTTCCTGAGGGAAAATTGCAGTTGCACTTTCCACAAACACATGCACAATGAAAAATGCCCGAAAAGCTGACCTGCTCCAAGTGAAACAGGGTGGACTCAATGAATTTCCCTTTCAATTTGTTTTTACCCAAACCAATATCAAAATATGAAGATATTTCAGAAAAAAATCCCATTATGTTGGTAGATCATTACGGCTGCACAACTGAAGCTGCAAAGTGCTGGAAAGGCCTGATCAGCCTTAATGATCTCTCCTAGCTCTTCCCTTATTAATGACAACTTTTACTGCTTGACTCTGATTGTGGGAATTAGTTTATTTCTGTTCCTACCAGACTCTTTACCATTTACATTGAGTATGCATCTCAAATGCCCTACTTACACCAGGTTTGCAAAAACACTTGAAGTGCTGCCCACATTTGTGAAGAGAAAGTAAAGAGATCACAGGAGGCCTTTACAACATAAAAGAAACTTACTGCCATGAGAACAGTTGTATGGCATATTCCTTTCATGACTCTCTTTCTAAACAATCAATGTTTTCTTTAAGATGGTCATTGGGCAATAAATGACATTGGAAAGCAGAAAAGAGAGGAAAGAAACTAGGGTGCCAAGAGCATGGAAAGGACTGAGACTAGATGCTGAAATATTGAACCAAGTAGCTAAGTAGAACAGCTAGGAGGAGATTCAGATGTAACAGGACAGAACTTAAACAATTTCTGAATTTTGGACCTTCCAATTGTTGGAGACTATCACATTTTTGGGCCATCAGATAAATGGGACAGATGTTACTGTGTTGGATCTCATCCTGGGTTCTTTTTTGCTTTCACACAGGAGCTTGAAATCCTTGGAAAAGCCCATAGTCTTGCTGACTACACATTTCTTCCAAGCCCTGCCATTCTCAGTGCAGAACATAAAAATAATGAGTTTACAAATAGCTTTATAATGTCTTGGAGGCTAAAGCATCCAAGGAAATAATCTATTGAAGAAATGGAACTGTTACATGTGTTTTATAAGGGAAAAAAGTTTCCACTGGACAAACATATTCATTTTAAAAATACAATTTCCCCTATTATTGATACCCAATCAACAGCAATATAACAGCAAAGAAAACATCACTAGGAAAATACCTTCTCCTGGCCTATACAGTTACATAAATAAACAGGTTATGTACTGAACTGTGCTTTGGGCAAAGGCAAGCCCAGACTATGGATTCTGGAAGAACATGAAGCATGTGCCTCTGTTAAAAGCACAAAGTAGAAGACATGGTCCACAACCCACCTCCCAAAGTTTAGGTCTTACTACAGCCCAGCTTCCAAAGAATACCAGGATACAGCATGGCTGTGGGGACATGGTTAAGCCTGATGTCCATTAGTACATGGAGAGTCTGTGCTATCAGCTAGAATTGAGTGAACCTGACTTAAAACAATCACAGAAGCTGTCTGAACAAGCAGTCCCACCCCAAAGCACTCCAGCACTTCCCCAAAAGCATCAGCTTCTCTTCTGGTAGGATGCTTCACTGCTCCTTTGTCACTCAGCTACCTCCTCTCTGTCCTTGGCGTGCCACAGATTGCTAGAAGCAAACAGAGCCTCCCTGCTCCCCCACATTTGATCATCCCTAATTACCTTTCCCAACCCATTAAACAAAATCCTTTCTTTAGAAACCCAGGGGGGTTTGTGGTATCAGAATTGCTTCTCTATTTCTATTAAGCACGCACAGACACACAAAATGTTCTTACATCATTAAGATGCAAAACACATTGTTCCTGAGCAAGTGTTTTCACAAAGTGTTTCCAAAGCCAGCATTTCCTGAAGCCAGTGCTTCCTGGGGGCTCTCTTGGGAAAAAAAGGGTTTATAGAGCTGATTGCTGCAAAGCCTGATGTTCCAGTCAGACAATTGCATAGGCCCAGAAGCCTTCACTGTGCCATTCACTCACTCCAGTCCCTGCAATAGTTGTTTCTCTCAAACCACAGCATCTCTTCCTCATCCCTCCTTCCAAAGTAGCACAGCTGTAACTAAGCCCAAAAGTTTTGGAACTATCACAAGTCTAGAATCACCAGTCACATCCCCTGAATATACCAGCACTATATTTCTGCTATATAAAGTGTTTAACGGTCAATTAATTTACTGCATGGGTAGTAAAATACATAAATGTGTGTGTCAGAGTGTTAGGGGAAATGGGGACAAGGTGGCTGAAGAGCAAAAGAGGAGGAAGGAAGAATGACTGGAATTAAGAGAAACCTGGAAGCCTTGTGGAGGCTTCCTTGTGCACCAAGCTGCCATATTCCCTGTCTCTCAGATTCCAGCTTGCAAAGTGGGAAGCACACCCCAGCGAGGAGTGGCCAGTGTGAGTACACACCTCCAGCAGTGAGGCTCCTAAACACACAGGGAGGAAGGAACAGAATCTGCTCCTGTAAAATAGCATCAAGCATAAGCACTGAACAGGGTGAGGCAGCTGGGGCGGGGAAACAGACCAGACAGGAATGGGGAGATTCCTGCCAGGAGTGAGATTCCTGGTTCATTCAGGACTCCTGTATGTTATTGTTTCCTTCTTTCTGTGTTTGGAGCAGGAAGAAAGGGGAAATGGTATGTCATTGTGAGCACAGGGCTCGACCCAGACTTGCCAAATCTGCCTTTGATAAGCCTCCTGAACTTTCTAAGCCTTCACTTCCTCACCACTTCCCTCAGCCATGGATGGCATTTACAAGTGGCTCAGTGCTACTGTCAGATGTCACACAGCAGGGTAAAAAACTTTCTCCTCCGACCATGTGGTGCTTGTAAGGCTTCACTAATCTTGTAGGTGCACCTAAATTCCTTCATTTCTTTGCCACCCCTTTCAGACCAATATTTATTTCCTTTTTTTTTGCTCATGCTCAGTAATATTAGTCATTACTTCTCTGCCTGTTTACTTCTCTTTTTTATTAAGGAGGAAATCCTAATTAATGCCCTTCTGGGATTTCAAAATTACTTATTTGCAGCAGGTTAGCAGTAACTTAATGACAAAACTTAGTCCTTGAAATCTGTCCCAAGTGGAAAGCAAAAACTTAGAACTTCATTGAGGCAAATAGCTAATGTACAAAATGACAAGGAGGGGTATATAATATACAAGAGGATACTGAATTAGGTTTCTGGAAGCGAATCCAAGAAAGGCTTTTTTCACTCATTGTGCAAGATTTTTTGCTTTCCTCATCCAACACAAGCCAGTGATTGGGAAATACTCATACCAGGGGAGACACCTAAAGCCAGACAACCATTAAGCATGACACTGGGCGTGCCCTCATTAAAGTGCTAAGGCGTGTGAGAGCCCCATTTAGAGAAAGATAAAAGATAGCAGTTTATTTGTAAAACAGCAGAGCCCTCACCACAGTCCTTGTCCAAAGCTTCCTAACCTAGCAGGGATGGTTAAGTGAGTGCACAGGCTCCACAAGCACCCTTCTCCATCCCCCCTGCCACTACCACACCGTGCTGTAAAGCCAGCCCTCTTACAGTCACTGCAATACTTTCTCCTAATGATCACATCAAGATCCAGAATTAGGACATTCCAAGACAGACAGCAAGCTCCCAGTCAGAACAGGTATCACAGAGAGAGAGCCTTTAAGATTTGGGCTCTTTTTGTAAAAGTATACTTTTAGATTTGTTCGTTCTTCAGGATGTTACACGCCAACAGTTCTACAAACAGTCATGTATGTGAGAAGTGCTGCTTCAAAGAGAACAGCCTAAGAAAACAGAAAGTAAACTGGCTTGGATTTTAAGCAGTCCAAGGCTGGATAGAAGGCATCAGCAAAGTGTTGGGATCAGCTATGCCATCCCTGCATAAATGTAAACATCATGAAAAAGCAGCTTTGCCTGCCTACGTACATCTGTTGTTATATTTGTACAGCAACAAATCCCACTTTAAAAATTACTCTACACACATTTGAAGCTGACAAAACAGCTTTACACTAGTGATTGATATATTGCAAAGTCAAGTCCACCACCAGTTAAGCTTCAGAAGGAAGTTACTACTTGTGTTTGTTGTGTTTGATATGAACTAGACACAAAGTCAGTCCATGGGATCAACAGTATTTGCATGAGCACTCCCAACTCTCTCTTCAGTTTAGGAGAGACAAAAGCAGCGTAAGGTCTCAAGATTACAAATTCACACACAAGCCTAATCCGTACAAGCTGTTCAATGGACACTAAGATGATCATAAAAATAGCTTAATAAGTAATGTTGCAACTACTTATTTGTTTTCAGTATTGAGGCAATTAGGGTAAACAATTAAACCTTACCTTCATTCCTTTAGTGATTCCATTTTTCTTAGATATTCCACTTTTTAAGAGGTTATTCTGTTTCTGATGATTGTGATGATGTAGATGTCCATTGCACACAGCACTGGGATTAGCCATCTGTTTAAATTAGTCAGATTCTCAGTTCTTAAGGGTGTCTCGGGTCTTTCTACTGTAAAAAAGACAGTGGGATGAGAAGATAAAGTTCTTGGTTAAGGCCTGAAAGGTATCCAACTGGTCTGTCAGGATTTTCCAGGATGAGAGGAGGAACTATCTTTTGCAATCTCTTCAAAACATAAAACTTTCTTTCATACAGCTTCAGCCCCAGCAAGCTAGAATGTGAAATACATGGCAGGAGGTGTGCTGTTAAAATCTCTGGAAATTACTGCTCCTTGCTGGCTCTTGCATGAACGCGGCTCCTGTGAGTCAACAAGGCTGCGGCAGCTATCAAGAAGTGGGAGGATTCAGAGGCGGAGACACTTAAAGATATATTACCTCTTAAATACCTCCAAGGGAGAAACTTTGTTTCTTTTCTCCGAATTACACTCGGTATAGCGCGAGGTCACGCCATAGAAACTGCCAAAATGTTTTGAAAATTTTAACAGTGTAATCTGTACAACTACATGGTTCATCTTAAGAGTATTTTAGCTGAAAACCAGTAGTATTGCCCTGAGTAAAGCAAAGAAACGCTTCAAAAATTTTCTTTTAATCTCTTCTTATATGAGTAGCATGACAGACACAGCATTATACCTGCAAAGAAATGGAAAGCATTTTAGTAATAAAATGAAAATTTATCTAGAGATAGATACTACAGAACGTGCCCAAGTATTCACTAGAGTGAACTGTCCCTTTAAACTCAGTTTGGCAGTAGTAGGATAAATGGCATGCTGTTACAATGAATGGGAGGTGGATTTTTATAAAGCTGATTAATTTGGTTTTAAAACAAGTCAGGCTTTAATCACATGTGAAACTACTAGGACAACTAACATACATCCCTTCTTTTATGAAAAAAGGGTTTTAATTGTAAAAATGCGTATACAGTCTTTGCTGACTCAAATTCTTGTACTTCAGATTTTAGTGACAAAAAGTAAATGTAGAAACCTCTCTGGTAGCATTTAATAGAATCTCTTCCTCCCAAAATAATTCAAATTAGTGTGGAGATAGATTAAAGGAAAGCTGTATTATGATATCAATTTTGAAAAACAGTTTGGAGGAAAGGCTGGGAGAATAAAAATACTTGAAGTTCTTTAGTTAGAAAAAATTGCTATGGCATCCTGGCAATGAAATGTAAGTTATATACAGAAAGAGCAGCCTAGAATTTGAGTACATGAAATGCAAGAGATGAAATGTTAAACAAACCACTCTGAAAATACACAGGGAAATACACTGTGTTGGTTTTGAAAACTTATCTTACACATATATTAAGTTGCTAAAATACATTTTCTTCTTTGAAGTATTTGCAAAGTGAGGTATCATCAATGCACTAGAAAACTTCTGGGTCTTGTTTAAGAGTGATCTAAACTTAAATTGATAAGACTGTAGTATTTTGGGGGAAGAAAATACCCCTTAGCTGATTAAAATGACACAGAAGCAGTAAAACACCAAAAGTTTTTTGACTCACAGTTTTACTAGATTCACCATTAGAAATCAGATTTTTTTAAGTTTTATCTTTTTGGTGCTTTTCCTAGTCAAGAAAATATCTCATTTCTGTATAATCAGTTTTGCTTAGGTTTCCTTAAGGCATCTGTAAGTATAGCTCACTGAGAAATGAATTGTGAATATAATAATGTCAAATATAGTTGCAAAATGGACTGTTGGTCTTAAGTGGCTAAGAGTTCATATTTGCAAAGAAAAAAGGAGACTGAGGTGAGGATAAGCCTGCAGGAAAAATGGTTGGTAACATCTCCTGCACACCTATCCCCTGTGGGCTGCTGATAAATGGAACAAGGTAATGCAAGGAATTCTCTCTGCACTTGGCAACCCTCTCCCATCCAGGAGCTTTCTTCATTTGGGATTTGTGTCCTTGATTGTCACAGCAAACCAAACTCCTGTAAAACATGCCATCTGCTCAGTCAGTCACTGATCATCTTCCCCCTGGTGTGACATAGACAAGGACACTCACCAGAGTAGGGCTGCTCCCCTTAGCAGCTTCCCCTGTCCCAGCCAGCACCTCTGCCAGCTGCTCTTCCCAACCGGCTCTGCACTTTTCAAGGCACAAAGCAATAAAATTAACATATCATACGTGTCTTTTTTCCTCCCCAATTAAGTTCATGAGGGAAGTTCATGAGGGAATCTCCAGTTAAAACAACAGTTCAGATAATGCAAAGGCTCTAGGTCTATACTTGTTATGTTTCAAGACCCATGAAATTACCAGGATGAATAAAATAGCAAGTTAAATATGTTATGGTAATTTTAGTTTTCAATGCCTACATTATTTAAGACAACAAACAAATAGAACTTTAAAAAATACCTCATTTAAATAAGCAATTAAAAAAATAAACTCAGAGAAGAGCTGCCCATTTGGATATCTGTTAACCATGACCTAAAAGCCAGGGCTCACAAAACAGATACCACTAGAGGCCGACTAAAATTCCTACCCTGATCCTACTCAGAGGAAAAGAGTTATAGAAGGGATGAACAAATACACAAAAATTATCTCTAAACAGAAAAAAAACCAACCAAACAAAAAAAACCCCAACAACAACAACAACAGCCCCCATGAAACCTGCCCAAGCTCCCCCAAAACAAACAAACAAATAAACAACCCTGCAAACCCCCAAACCAAAAAATAAGCAGGAAAAAAAGCCAAAAAACCAACCAAACAAAAAAAACCCCAACAACAACAACAACAGCCCCCATGAAACCTGCCCAAGCTCCCCCAAAACAAACAAACAAATAAACAACCCTGCAAACCCCCAAACCAAAAAATAAGCAGGAAAAAAAGCCAAAAAACCAACCAAACAAAAAACCCAAATCAAGCCAGAAAAAAATAACAACCAGAAATCATTGTGCCCTTCAGAACTCTATCTTACTCAAAGCCATCTCATCTATTACTCAGACTTCTATACACATATCTGTCATGTTACCTGTTACCTGCATCTAAATCTATTACTCAAATGTATGAGGATCTTTGCTGGACACTGGAGGAGGAACTCAATAATTGTCTGCTTTGCAACACCAAAAGCACCACCAGCAATATCCTATTTGTATTGTTCTGGGAAATGGAAGGAAATCATCTGCTGTGCTGTACAAGAATTGTGTGTATTTAACTGCAGGGGACACCAATCCTACTAAGATTGTATGTGCACTTCTCTTTAGTGGCTTGGGTGCTGGTCATTCTTCATACTTCGACAAGATGATGAATTTCTAAGATTACCAGCAGACCACACACCATGTTCTACAAAAATGCTAGTGAAGTTTCCAAGATGTGATTACAATTAGTATCTGTAGGAAAACCACCAATGAATCTCCAGGTTCTAGGTTATGAATCCCCAGGTTCTGGGTTTTATTCCTTGCTTTGTCATCATCCTGGTAACACCACTGCATTTTTGCTAACTCACATTGAAATGAGGAGAAAAGTGTTTAAGTCCTTTTTAAATGCTCTGAGACAAATTGCTGAGGAGTATGGTGCAAAAGTGAAGTAAAATATATGCAGTTTAATTAGCCAAGGTTTAGCAACAGAGCAGAGAGAATAGAGAGGGATAGGGCTCTAAGTAGTCTCTCAGTGTTTGAAGAAAATCACTTTTCTAGTAAAAATTCTCTTGTTACATAGGACAGGTTAAAAGGCTGAACTCTGCTGGTCCACTCAAGAAATGGGGACAAAACATTCAATTAGATTCTGGCCCAGTCAGACATGCAATGTCATTGTAGTGGTCACAGTGTCCCCATTTAAAATAACAATACTGGATTCACAGTGTCCCCATTTATAATAGCAGTACCGCATTACCTACCAATTAAAAAAAAAATGTTGGAAGAAAGCATGAGGGCGCATCCCAAAAAACTGTCATGTCATAAACTGGGAGGATTTCATAGGATTCCTGCTCATTCCAGAGTACAGTTACTTACAGCAGTGTTGTGAAATGGTCTTGCAATCTAATGGCAGGACCTTGATAATTTCAGGTCATGACAGATTCCCATTTACATACTACATGAAACAATAAGGGTTTTAACAAAGACACCAGGTTTATGCTTGTTTTCAGTGGACAAATACCCATGTCAAACAAGCGCTGAATAAACTGGGAATCCAAATCTATTTCTCTGTTAAAATCCAAGATTCTAGGAGTGTTTAAATAGGCAGCAGAGTATGATGGTAATGGGGTACAGAGTAAAAACCAACTTTTTTGTTCTCACAATAATTTTCCTTAAAACAGAAATCCATCTCTTAAATTCTGTGTACCACTGATGACTTATACTTACATTTGACGAATGTGGACACATGGATGTTGGAGGCAATTCCTGCCTTGGATGTGTAGAAGACTTCATGAACAAATGGGGAGACACCACAACAACAAAGCAAGAGCAAGTACCAGCCATCAGCTGGTCAGTCACCCCCAGGGTGTTTTTTGAGTCATCCACATTTCATCAGCACCAGCTATAGACTAAATTCCCTAAATCCTTACATGGAAGAACCCCCAGCTGTGTTTTTTTTCTTTACACCCTATCTAGCAATACATACATGGGATTGAGTAGGGATAAGCCACTACACCTGGAAATAAAACTGATGCTGAAAGATCCTTTCAACTGCCCTTGCACAGCTTGAAGGATACACAAAATGGTTTGATATTGGTCAGAGAATAATCTAGAGCAACTCAGAGCCATGGCACAGGTGGACACACGCAACCAGTGTTGCAACAGTGCAGGGCATGGCACAACAGGCAGGGCTCCTCTGTGTCTGCAGGTCCACACAGCCCCTGCAGAGCCCTGGGGCTGGCACAGCTGCTTCTGACACCTCTGCACCTCCTTGTTCTTCATGGGGCACAGTAAGATGACAAGACAATGCTTGAAAACCTTAAGCATTTAAAGATGGTGTCAGCCTGGGTTCTTAGGCAATATTACCAGAACCAGTTTTCTGACTGTATCTGGGTGTCAACAAGCTTTGAGTACTCCTAGCAGCAGGAAATTGTGGGATTTTCTGTCTGATACAAGTATCTGATTGATATATGATACACAGAT